TCCTGCTTTTTTTTTTTTTTTTTTTTTTTTTCCTTTTTGTCTTTTTTCGTGTCCGGCAACGGATCGCAACCCTCAGTGTCGCGCCCGGACCGGGACCGGCAACGGGATCGCAACCCTTGGCGTTGCCCCCACACCTCGCTCAGCCAGTGAGCGGGAACCGGTCTGTATGTGGGATCCGAACCCTCCGCGGGAGCGCCACCACACTCCCAAGCGGCGCACTGTAACAGTGTGCCACCGGGCCGGCCCTTGACCTGCTTTCTTTTGTATATGTGAGTAGTGTTATTTCTTATGTGCTATACAAATACTTGAAGGTTAATTAGCAGTATCACTATATAGTAATGCTGCCAGTCTCCTTCAGACAAAAAAATTTATAAAATGTGGTTACATATATTAGTAAGTAGCTAGCAAGTCTTTATAAATATGTGACCATTTAGGTTTTTGTTTTATGACATAGATTTGAAAAGATATGTCTGAGGAATGGTATAATGTGATGGTTCAAAGCATAGGGTTTGGAGTTGATAGCTTGGGGTTGGAATTGCAGCTCCAGTAATGTATTGTTAGCATAATTTCTCTGAGCTTAAATTTTTTCCTCTAAAAAATGGGTATTGTACTTACTGTGGCTCTCATGAGATTGTACAGGTGATGAATAAATGGTAGTTTTTATTACTAACCCTGTGTTTTTTATGCAAAACAATTAATGAATAGAATTTATTTAGTCAAATGTGTATTAAATGAAATCTTCGCTAAGTGATAGTCCAACAGGCCGCACCTAAAATGGGAGAAATTTTCAGCGTCAGTATCAAGAGAGTCAGCAGAGGGCAGCACTTTATTTCCTGGAGAACTGTGGGTCCTAGGGATTCTGGAAATGCCAGTATACCACACGTATAAACTTGTCTTACTACTATGAAAAGATAGAGATGTAGTAACTAGTGAATGATAACCAAAAATAATTCACAATCATTGACATGTTAAGGGGATTGAGTACCAAATAGCTTGACCAAAATGTTAATTATTAACAAAAATTAATGATAAAAGACTGTTGAGTGATAACTTGGTTAAAAGCAAAAGGTGGTCAAAAATTTAGAATGGTTGGACTGGCCAGTTAGCTCACTTGGGAGAATGTGGTGCTGGTAACACCAAGGACAAAGGTTACGATCCCTTACTGACTAGCTGCGCCCCCCCAAAAAATGACAACTTAGAATGGTCAGTTCAAACCACTGTTTTATATTTTAAAACACACACAAATGTCCTACAGATTTTACAATGATAAAGAAGTGTACAATTTTGAAATTGACTCCACAGTCTTGAATCAAAAACATCTTAATGGTATCTTTTAATTAATTTATTAATTTTTTGGTGGCTGGCCAGTACAAGGATTGGACCCTGGACCTTGGTGTTATCAGCACCACACTCTAACCAACTGAGCCAACTGGCCAGCCTGATTTCATATTTTTAAAAATAAATAATATGTTAACATAGTTCGAAATTCAAGAGGGTATACAATGAAATCTCTCTTGTCCCTCAGGCCTCCAGTTACTTCTATAAAAGCAGCTGATGTCACCAGGGTCTTGGGTCTTTCCAGAGCTACTTAAGCATATGCATAAACTTAGACAACACACACTTCTGCAGCTTACATTTTGTCCACAGAAATGGAAGTAGACATCATGGAGATTATATCTTGGATATTCCATTTGGTACATAAAGCACATCCTCCTTTTTTAACAGTTGTGTAGTCTATTCTGTCATATTTTATTTAACCAGTCTCCTATTCATTGTACCTTTAGGTTGCTTTTAATTTTCTACTATTACAAGCAATGCTGCAGTGGAAAACCTTGATATGCCATTTGCATGGGAGCCAATATACTAAATGAACTGTTTTTAAGCAGATAGGCTCAGAAGGCATAAGTATACATAGAGATTTTTTTTGTTTCTGGCTTTGGAGTGGCAAGAAGCTAAAGACAAAAAATAATAAAAGTGCCTATACTTTTTTTTTTCACATGTCCCATAAGTGATTACAATGACTACAGTGACTCTGAAACCTTTATTTTTCATGTTCAGCAGCCCTAGTACAGGGCAAGGCACAGTATGGGATTCATTCAGTGTCACTTAGATGCTATAAAAATACTAAATGAGAGTTTAAGAAGATTATTATACGGAGGTGGTTCAAATATAAAATTGTTCAGAATAAAATTATTTTGTGATTGAACAAGTAATCTGAAAGGTCAGAGAGGGTCAGAGAAGGCTAGAATTGAAAAGTTTTTTGGAGGAATCAGACTTGTGCTTGGGTGGACCTTAATCAGTAATTTGTAGAAAAGAAAACATTCCAGCAGGAGGGTGTGTGAAAGGCAGAATGATAAAAGCAGGAATTTGGAAAACAATTAGGCCAGTTTGGGTGGGATTTTGCAGTATTTGTTTGGGATTAGACAGGGTGGGGTCAAGTTGTAGAGGCATATGAATTACATACTGGCTCATTTTATGAGGTTTCTAAACCAGAGAATGACAGCAAAAGGCAGAGCTTTGATCTGGAAATGGTGTGAATGGAAGCAGGGAAATGAAATGACTGTTATAATCCTGACATAAATGGAAATGGCTAAATTATAGCGTATGTTCTCAATGAAATATTTTATAAAGTTAACAATTACTTAAAAATGGAATGGAGACTATAGCGACATTGAAAAACACTTGATTATTAATTGGTTATCACTATGAAAAGATGCTATGGACAAAGGCACAAATACTAAAAGTTGCAATAGTGTTTTGGGATATATGTATAATTTTTTTCCCAAACAAATGCAATTTGGCAATGTCAACTATTGTCCCTAGAATAAAAACCTTAAAAAATGTATGTATGTGTGCCTCAGGTACACTGTCTAATTTGAATCCCATTGTAAATCTGTGAGATAAACAAGGCAGACATTGTTCTCACTGTTTACAGAGGAGGAAAGGGTTAGACTCTGAAAAATGATTTGCCCCAAACTATTTACCTAATAAGTGACAAAGGAGAAGCACAAACCCAGGTCTTCATAGGCCAGATAATGTGTTGGCAATCAGTGTAACTCTTGCTTCATACCCTCAGGGAGGTTATGAAGATAATATCATATAACGGCAAATTTTAAATGGAAATAGAGACTGATAAACAGACGTTCTCTTTTTACCCCATATTCTGTATGAGTCATAATAGTTGCATTCAAGAAATGTCCCAAATGAGGGTCTGTCATTTGAAATGCCATCGGCAGGCCTGAATAGCTTTCAATAAAGTAAAAGTGAAAGGAAAATGTCCATAGACTTCTAAATATGCATACTAAAAAGAACAGTACTGCCTATATGAAAGAGTATTGAAGAACTATGGGTTTCTATTCAAACCTGACACTAATTTGTGAATCTTTTGTCCTCACTCTGTCCCTGTAAAATAGGACTATTTTCTCTTTTCTTAATACAGCCCATGTTTTCCATCTTCTGAACATTTGCTCTTGCTGTGCCATTGAAGAACTATGGGTTTCTATTCAAACCTGACACTAATTTGTGAATCTTTTGTCCTCACTTTGTCCCTGTAAAATAGGACTATTTTCTCTTTTCTTAATACAGCCCATGTTTTCCATCTTCTGAACATTTGCTCTTGCTGTGCTGCCTACCTGAAATAGCCTCCTTTCTCACTCATCGGGATGCACTTCAAATATCTCTTTGAAGAAGCCTTTTATTTCACTCCTTTCCTGCCCCTTGCAGCCTCCCAGCACATAATAGCACTTATAAACTACCTTGTTTTAGAGTCCTTTATGTAGTTCCCTTATTCTTCCTGTGAGATTGTTATGTTGATATAAGAGGAGGAATCCATCTAACATTTACTAAGCAATTACTATATCAGAAGGTGCCAGGCATTTCATTCAATAAGTATAATACAAGCTAAAATACTGCTCTAAATACTTTATCTGCATTAATTCATTTAATTTCACAATAACCCTACATGGCACTTACTACTACTGTGATCGTTATTTTGCAGATGGGAGAAACTGAAGTCTAGAAATTTGAATTAATTTAGCCAAGTTCACAGAGCTAGGATTTGAGTCATGATTTAAATCCAGATATCCTACCTCTGGAGGCCCTGGGACTTGCCCTCTATTTCGAAGAACTTTTTTCCAGAGGAAGAGGCAAGTCCGTCTCATCAGGTCTATGCCCCAGTAGAAACTATGCCTCTCCTCTAGCCTCTCGTTCTTTCAGTCACTCATCTATTCTGTCATTGGACCCCTAGGGACATCCCCAACCCCAACCTGATTTCAACTGCCAGGGAAGAGGCTTGGAGTCCCCAACCCTGGGTCCATGCTTGGGGTTCTACGCTACTCTTTTGATCTTCCCTCAAATTGAGAATAAAATATTAACTCCTGTTTCTGCTGTGAAGTGCCTGCACTGGTTGCGAGAGCACTTTCTATTGGTGAATTCCTGTCATATCCCCACTATCAGCTATTTTTAAAACCACTAAAATTAGGCATTGTGTAAGGACTCCCTGAAATTTTATTCTAAAGCATTTGGAGGGGGGACAGACCCCATAATTTTCATTAGATTCTCAAATGGATTTAGAGTTTCCCTAAGATTTTTGTAAACATTACGGCATTTTTTTTGGAAGCTCCCCTCCTCATATCAAACATTAAAAAATATTGAAATTCATATTAAAAATAATTTTTATATAATTATGAAATACTTCACGTGACTAATTGACTTAAATGTATACTTTATAGACATGTAATAAAGTATATATTAATTTTGACTTTTCAAGTTTCCTTTTTGTATCCTACAGCCAATACTTTTTTAAGGTCTCGAACGCATTCACAGGCCCATGGAAAGCTCACAGCCTCTAGATGCTGTGCCCATTGAGCCTAATGGCAAAAATGGCTCTGAAGGGCCAGCCCATGGCTCACTTGGGAGAGCGTGGTGCTGACAACACCAAGTCAAAGGTTAAGATCCTCTTACCAGTCATCTTTATTTAAAAAAAAAAAAAAAAGGCTCTGAATGGGTTCCTGACTAATAAAGGTCAGGAAGCACTGCCTGAAGTGTAACTTCCAGAAGCTACCACCTGCTCAGTAATTTCTTTCTACTCTTGGTTGCTTAATCCCCCTTCTGCCCTTCAGCCCTCCTCCCACAGCCTTGGGAGTCTCTCCCTTTACCCAGACTAAGGACAAGTTCAGAGTTCTCTTTTCTTTCTTGGATCCTCCAGATTTGCTCCTCATCCTGGGAACACCAGAGTGGAATATCTCAAGCCTGGTGGTGGAAGGGGAAGGGCTAAAGGTGCAAACTCACAATGAGCTTTTTTCTCTCTGCCTTCCCTTAACCTATTTTGGATATGGCAGAAATCATGAAGTTTGGGAATGACAGAAGTTTGGGATATGCTGAGCTATGACACACATTTTTTTTGGAATAATTTCCAAAACCAGATTTGACTGTTGCATGGGCCTAACAGTTAAGAATATAGCCAATAAATGATCCAATGCTAGTGAAACCATATAAAACTGATTGAAAACTGATTAAGCTTGCTGAAAATCGTTTTATTTCCCTACTTATTTCATTTTGGTAACTGGCCAGTAGGGGGACCAGAACCCTTGATCTTATTTCTCTATTTTAAGTTGTTTTACATGTTTTCTTGCAGGCTGTAAGCTAAGCACGTGCAGAGAGAAAGACCTAGCCTTCCCGATGACCTTGGGTACCACAGGAACCTGAAAACTCTCCACCAAAGGACTGGATTTAGACTCAACCAATTAGCCCTTGTCTGTATCATATGACCTGACCCAGGCCCAACCAATCAGTTCCTGACTCATCAGCCAATCAACCCATGCCTGAGTCATACGGCCTGACTCAGGCCCAGACAATCACTTTGCCTAGTTAGGTGGTCTAAACAGGAGCCAGCCCATCCCCAGTCCCTAATCCTTATAGATCTTTTAAAAACCCATCCAGCCCCTGGTTTGAGAAGACAGATTTGAGAGCATTGCCTCCTGTCTCCTTGCCAGCTGACCTCACAATAAAGGCTTTTCTTTTCTCAAAAACCCGTGCCATAGTATTGGCTTCTGTGGGCATTGAGCAGCAAGCCCTTGCTCGGTAACATTAGCATTTTCAAAAAACTAAAAAGAGGGGCCAGCCTGGTGGCACACTGCTGTAGTGCGCCGCTTGGGAAGCGCGGCGGCGCTCCCGCCGAGGGTTCGGATCCCACATGCAGACCGGTTCCCGCTCACTGGCTGAGCGGGGCGTGGGGGCAGCGCCGGGGGTTGCGATCCCGTTGCCGGTCCCGGTCCGGTACGGGGGCGACACTGAGGGTTGCGATCCGTTGCCGGACATGGAAAAAGACAAAAAGGAAAAAAAAAAAAAAAACTAAAAAGAGGTGAAATAAAAAAGGTACTGGTTCAAGAAACAACATGGCTTCCTTCACAACTTTCAAAAGAAAACTGAGAAGTCATAGAAAATGAAATATGTTTTAAAAATTGTACAGAGTAGCAGTTTGTATTCAGAAAAGATAGATACCAGCAGAGACATGAATAAGAGCAGGATCTTGTCTTTTGCCCAAAGACAAGGGCATAGATTTTCAGTGCTCCTTCACCTTTAACACTGGATACAATTTCTCCTTGAACAATCTGCAGTTTTCCTTGGTTCTCTTGTGTCACTTATTTTCTACCTTATTTTATTATTGTTTTTACACAGGTTTAATCTCATTTTCTTTCTTTTTTTTTTTTTTTCCTTTTTGTCTTTTTTCATGACCGGTAACAGGATTGCAACCCTCGGTGTCACGCCCGATTGCAACCCTCGGTGTCACGCCCGCACCGTGCTCAACCAGTGAGAGGACCGGTCTCTATATGGGATCCGAACCTTCATTGGGAGCGCAGCCGCGCTCCCAAGCGCTGCACTCTACCGAGTGCGCCACCGGGCCGGCTCTCATATTTTTTTAAAAGATGACCAGTAAGGCGATCTTAACTCTTGACTTGGTGTTGTCAGCACCACGCTCAGCCAGTGAGCTAACCGGCCATCCCTATATAGGGATCCGAACCTGTGGCCTTGGTGTTATCAGCACCGCACTCTCCCAAGTGAGCCATGGGCCAGCCCATAATCTCATTTTCTAAACTGTAAGTATCTTATGCATCTTGGCATCCCTTACAATATGTATCTACCATGGTTCTGTAATACCTGTTAGGTACTCATGTATTTGCTAGAGATAAATGAATAGAGGTCAAAATACCATTATAGTCTAAAATGCTACAGATTTGCACCATAGAGAGGTTACTCACCTGTAGGTGTACTTTATTGGTCATCTAGTGGTGTCTATATAAATATAAGAATAGAAAGTGGAAATATATTAATATGTCAACTATGCTTTCTCTTTCTGAAATCATTCTGAGACTGAGCTGGCCTATCTACCATCCGGATGTCAGTGTTTTTTGTGGCAGCAGGTCGGTAACAGGGATCGAACCCTGGACCTTGGTGTTATCAGCACCATGCTCCAACCAACTGAGCTGACAAACTGGGCCAGCTTTTTGTGGGGGGATGTCAGAGTTGTATGTTTATAGTAAATTTATACACACTTGTACATATCCAGAATTTTCCAACATTTATAATGATATCATAAGGGATTAAAGTTGGATGTAAACTTTTTGGCCCTCCTCCCATTGAGGGGGGGGTACGTGTCCCCTCCCCTTGATTCTGAGCTGACCTGTGTCTGCTTTGACCACTGGAGTGCAGTGGAAGTGATACGTTGTTGGCGATGGTCATAGCCTTTAAGAGGACTAGAAATTTCCACCTTGGTGTCCTGGAGCCCTGAGTTAGCATATAAGAAGTCTGGCTATCCTGAAGTGCTTAGTGGCATAGCTGTGCGAAGAGGACAGGGAAGGGGAAGGGAGCTCAGCCCGAACGCAGTTGTTCCAAACCTCAAGCATTGCATCATCCCAGTCCAATTGAGACTCCAGACATTGCAGAGAGACAAACCTCCCTTCTGTGCCTTGTTTGAATTCCTGATCCTAAAAATTATGAGGTATAATAATAATAAATCATTGTTTTAAGCAACTGGGTTTTGGAGCAGTTTATTAAGCATCAATAGTTAACTAGAACAGATGTTTTAAACTAATATAACCATTAATTCATAAACGTGTATACATAGCTTACATAAAATTAAAAAATTATACATGTTGCATTTTAAGAATATGTCTGATAGGTTATTTGCACAAAATTAAAATGAATATAAGCAAATATTTTGACATTTTTGAAAACAGTTAATCATATATTTAATATTAAGATTTGGGGCTTCTAAGAAGATATTAAAATTTTTAAAATAGTTGATACTTCCGTAATAGTGGCGATTAATCCACTGTGTTATAATTAGCAAGAATGACACACATCATGTAAGTTGCAGGAAAAAAATTATGCAGGTCCTTCCTAAGTCTTATATCCACACAAAAATGTGATGACAATAATATGACCAAAAAACAACAGCAACAACAATATGGTCAGCTCTATATCTTGGTACCAAATTTAATCTAAGAGCATCTGTCAGGGGACCCATACAAAAGCCTTATAATGATTTCTGGAAAAGTAATGACTCATTGAGCTGTTTCCAGGAGACACAGATTCTTGGTTTCAGAGTTCCTGAGCTGTTCGCTCACTGTGCCGGAACAGCTGACTTCCCACAGCGTGTACTTCAGTATCTCAGCAACTGAGGCCCGAAAGCGAGTTTGGAACTTCTTACTAATTAGGACATAAAGGATGGGATTCAAACAACTATTGAGGAATGCTAAACCAGTGGAGAGGGGGATGCCAGCCTGCAGTACCTGGTGGAAATAGCTATTGTGGTGAATAGTGAGCTCCCAAATGCTAAAAAGGTGATAAGGAGTCCAGCAAATCAAAAAGGCCACAACCACAGCCAGAATTGTCCAGAAATGCTTACTGGAGATCAGGATGCTTCGCTTCTTCACCTTGAAGATGAGACACAAGTAGCAAATACTCATTGTTAGCAAAGGGAAGAGGTACCCAACAATAAATTTCACCCAGGTCAGAACATGGTGCCTCATCAAAGTGAGGTCAGGGTCATGCTCGTGGAAATTGTTATAGCAAACAGTGTGGTTATTCAACTCCAGAGTGTCTCGGAAGTATAGGGCAGGACCACCAATAAGAGAAGCCAAAAGCCAGACAAATAGAATAACTATCAGGGAGTTCTTTAGGGTTCGGTGCCGATGAGACAAGACAGGATGGATCAAGTGGATATAGCGGTCCAGGCTGATCACAGTCAGGAAAAAAACACTGGCAAACATGTTCAACTGGGCAATGAAGGAATTGGCCTTGCATAACCAGATGCCAAAGGGCCAGTGGAAATTCATGGCCACATAGGAGATGTACAGAGGCAGGAAGAGAACAAAAATGAAATCTGCAATGGCCAGGTTGAGGAACCAGAGAGTGGTGACTGTCTTCTTCCACTTGAATCCCGTGAACCAAATGACAAGGGCATTTCCTGGAATTCCCAGAACAAATGCTAAACAATATAATATCAGAGAGACCCAGTGAACAACTCCCAGGTGGACTTTCTCCTCCAAATCAGACTCCGGGGAGTAATATTCCAGGGCATAGGAATAGTTATCAAGTTCTTCAAATAGTGTTTCCTCTAGATCTTCCATGACCTTGTTAAGTGGAGACTGAGGACACCTACAGAAGGAAATTTAAAAACAAAAAAATGTGTAAAGGAGGAAGAAAAGTTCAGTGAATGATAAGGGACAGAAAGGTAAAAATATTTCACCTTATGAACCAGACATACTACATTTTTTTGGTAGGACTTGTGATTATACTCCAGATGTCCCAGTTTTTTTGTTTTTGTTTTTTTTTGAGGTGGCTTGGCAGACAGGGATCTGAACCTATGACTATGGTGTTATAAGGCTATGCTCTAACCAATTGAGCTAACCAGGCAGCATAGATGTTCAAGTTTTGGTAGGCCTCAGTTTCACTCTGATTATCATTCTCAAAGCTGAGAGAGTTCATTTTTGTAAAGTAATTGCTTAATTAAGATGATTGACTTTATAGGTATAATTTATCTGTTCATAATGTCTATAGGGCTGACTAGAGAAAATCTAACATTCAACATGCATTTACTAGGTTCCTACTATGCATTATTATTTTATGGCAAAAGAAAACACAGTAATACACAATGATGACTTCAAAATCTGTATTTGTAGCCCTGACTTCTTTATCTCTAGACAGAGTTCGAACTATTTCCTAGACTCATCCACCTGGATGTCACAGGTAAGCACTGAAGATTTTGACCCACCATTTTGCACCCAAAGATGTTTTTATTTTATGTTTATGAATGCAAACATGTTGATCAGAATTATATCAATATGGATGGCTTTTTATCTACAAGGTATCATTAAATTTTTATTCTACTGAAATTCCTTTGTTTTGAATTAATTTGAATTAACTCTTTTATATAATCATTTGTGACAAAGATTTGATTTATTAAACAGTTTTACTTTACTTATTTTTATCCATACCAATTTTTTTTTTTTTTTGGCATCTGGTCAGTACAGGGGTCAAACTCTGGACTGTGGTGTTATCAGGACCATGCTCTAACCAACTTAGCTAACTGGCCAGTCCCTCCGCTTTTCTTTCCAAGGCCAGCTTTCCAAGTGTGGGGGCTCCCCTCCACTTTTTCTTTTCAAGGCCAGCTTTCCAAGTGTGGGGGCTCCCCTCCACTTTTTCTTTCCAAGGCCAGCTTTTCTGGGTTAAGAACATGTAAGAGTCAGTTTTTCAATCAAAACAAAGTTTAGTGGGTGCAATTTTATTTTGTGTTATTTCTATCTGTAGTATTCAAAATTGAGTAGAAAAAAGATTCGTGGTTGTAATCATTTCATGGAGCTACAATCATAAATGAGACAAGTATGCAAGATTTGGGATTAGAGTGAGGTTAGAATGAAGAAATCAAAACATCCTGTGTCGCTCACAGGCATCTTAAACTCAAAATTACTACCACTGAATTCATCATCCTACCTAAAATCTTCAGAGGAATCTAGCAGGGCATAATTAAAAACAATAGCAATTCATTAGCTTTCTCCCAACCTCAGACCCAGCCAGCTTCTTTTCGTTTTTTAATATTTAACTGAAATGCCACCTATTCTTGGAAGCATTTCCTGACATCACCTTTTTGCAGTTATTTATAATAATTATTATTGTTATAAATAGTAATCAATGTTATTGAAAATTTGCTAGCTGCCAGGCATGTATGATCTAATTTGATCCTCACAAGAATCTTGTAGAGTAGATAAGTACTATTATTCTCAATTCCAAGAAAAGATACTGAAGCGCACAGAAGCTTAGTGACTTGCCCAAGATCACACAACATGCAACTGTAGATCAAGATCTAAACTCAGTCTGTTAGATTCAGAGCCTAAGCTCAGCCACTACAACATTCCCCTCTTCTGTCACACTTCTCTTATCACACTTACACTATATTGTCATTAACCTATTTTTAATTTCTCTCCCACCAGACCATAAACTCCTTGAGAATAATGATGGTCATCTCTGTACCCCACAGCGCCTGGTAAAAGTCTTAACATATCACAGATGCTTAACATATGCTTAATAAATGATTGGCTCTACTATGAATCCTGTTTGGAACCAAAGATAATTTTAAAGCTTCAGGTAAGAGTTTGCAACTTCACCCCTAAGTCAATGTTGTTGCCAGAATCTCTGTAATCTTGACCCACAGTTCTATCCTTAGGACCTTGGCTTGTTCCTTGATACCCAATCCTTTCCTTTTTCCCACTCCAGAGAGCAAGAATTAGCTTCTGTCTCACTACCCTATTCTTTGAGGCCTGGGATCTGACGCAGCCCTCTCACTCCTTCTGAGGGTGGCTGACTCCCCCCAGTGTCAAATCCTTTCCAGCCTAGTCTCAAACTCCCTGTCATGGTTTTCTGTCTGTGTACTAAAACACCCTTACCTTCCTGGTGCCTATGATCTGTTCTTTTAGACCATTAGCAATTCTGAAGCTAAATGATCCAGGAGCTGGTCTGAATCCCTTACAAAACACTAAACGGTGAGTAGAAGGAACCTCACTTCCCAAACAAAGAAGTGCCCATGGAAGACCCTTAATAGCTCACAACCACTATCCCCACCAAAAGTCAGAAGACAGCTCCTTCCAACGTCATTACTGATGCTGCTGAGATAGCATAATCATTGCAGAGCCTGCTGAAGGACACGAACAACACTCTCCCTCATTCTCTTGGGGCAGGGCAGGAAGTGCCTTGAAGATGAATGATCTATTTGAACAGAATGCCTTCAAACAGAAAGCCCTGTACCAGAGAGGTTTCTAATCTTCCAGGAAGCAGATGAATAGGTTAGATTCAAGGACCAGTTCAGGCTTGGAAAAAAATGCTTCAAGAGAAGCTAAATCCTGCCCAGCTGAATCCTTCATGGGAAATATAAGCTAGAAATTCCCCTATAACTTAGAGCAGATGTTTTTGTGTGGTGATTATGGTGAAGGGTAGAGATGAAGAGAGAAGTAAGGCAGAATTCAGCAACTGGCCTACTGAGTCCTTAAGCAGACACAGTTAGCCCTTGAGGGAATATTCTTGCTTAATCCTTGTACATTGTTTATATATTGCTTTACAATTTACAGGTACCTCCAGATCCAATTAAGTTTCCAAACCTCACTTAGTCCTACGCAAATATCTAGAGACTAATTGTATTTGTTTTCTAGGGCTGCAACATAAACTGAGCAGTTTGAAATAACAGAAATTTATTGTCTTAGTCTGGAGGCTAGAAGTCTGAAATCAAGGTTGATTCCCTTTGAAGGCTGTGGGCAAGAATCTGTCCCGTGACTCTTGCCTAGCTTCTCATAATTTGCTGGGAAATTTTTACATTCCTTGGCTTGTAGACATGTTACCCCAATCTCTGCCTTCATCTTCACATGGCATTCTTCCTCGGTGACTGTGTTGTTTCTGTGTCCAAATTTCTCCTTTTTATAAGAACACCAATGATATTGGATTGTGATCCACCCTAATGACCTCATTTTAATTTGATTGCCTCTATTTCAAATAAGGTCACATTCTGAGGTAGTGGGTTTAATATTTCAACATATCTTTTTGTGGGGGGGGCAGGTTTGGAGTCACCATCCAACCCATATCACTAACCCAGAAATGGCAACCACCATTTTGAACCATTACTCATTCATTCAGCAAATAATTAGTAAGTACCCACATTTGTCAGGCAATATTCTAGTTGACTGGGATTCTTCACTAAATAAGACAACTATTTCTTCTCACTTAGATTTTAGATTCCAGCAGGCAGAGATAAACAGTAAAAAAATAAACATTATAAAAAGCAAATTAGATGGTCTGTTAAAAGGTGGTAAGTTCTGCAGAAAAATGAAAAAATAAAAGTGAGAGGTTGGTTAATGGACACAAAATTACAGCTAGATAGGAAAAATAAGTTCTATCAGTGTATAGGCATCTATACTAACAGTAATGTACAGCATGTTATCAAATGGCTAGAAGGGAGGAGATCAATATTCACAAGGAAATAATTAAGTTTTGCAATGATGAATATGCTAATTACCCTGATTTGATCATCACACATTGTATATTATGTATTGAAATATAACTCTGTGCCCAATAAATATGTATAATCAATATGTTTCAATAATTTCCAAGGTCAAGGGTTTAGATCTCCTTACTGGTCAGCCACACAAAAAATAACAGGATAAAGGGAATGGGAGGTAGTTTTAACTTTCAATAAGGTGGTCTGAGAAGGACTCATCGGGAAGATAACTGCGAAGGCTCGAAGAACATGAGGGAGTTCGTCATGTGGATATTTCACGTAAGAGTGTTCTAGGCAGAGGGAGTAGCCAGTGCAAAGGCCCAATGGCAGAAGTGTGTCTAACATATTCCAGAAACAGTAATGTCTGAACAGGGTGAGAAAAGCGAGCAAGGGGAAGAAAAGAAGGAAAGAAGTTCAACGAGGATGTAGGAGGTCAAATCATGTAGACACTTGTAGGTCATTGAAGTTACTTTGAGCAGAGAGAAAAATTAATCTGATTTGTATTATAGAAAGATAATAGAATCTCTACAGAAAGACCAGCTAGCCACTAAACAAAAAAGAAAGAAAGATCCCTCTTTCTGCTATGTTGAGAATAAAATGTTATATGTGGTGGTGGGGTAAGCAAGTATAGAAATTTGGAGACCAGTTAGTAAATTATTACAATAATGCTGGCCAGAGATGAAGGTGGCTTGGACCAGGGTGGAAGCAGTGGAGGTGATGAGAAATGATTGGATTTTAGATATATTTTGAAAATAGAACCAATAAGTTTCTTTCTTTCTTTCTTTCTTTCTTTTTTTTTAAAGATGACCAGTAAGGGGATCTTAACCCTTGACTTGGTGTTGTCAGCATCACGCTTTCCCAAGTGAGCAAACCGGCCATCCCTATATGGGATCTGAACCCGGGGCCTTGGTGTTATCAGCACCACACTCTCCCGAGTGAGCCATGGGCTGGCCCCCAGTAAGTTTCTTGACAGAGCAGATGTGGGGTGTGACAGAAAGAGAAGAGTCAAAAATGACCCCCAGACTCTGGGGCCTTAGGCACCAGAGTCCAAGGCCCTTCACTACCGCTTTTCCCCTCTCCTCATTGGCTAGAACATGGAGGCAGTGATGAGCCATCT